GTAGGAAGCCCAGCCTCTGCTTCTGGAACTCCCTCCCCTGCTGTCTCTAGCTCTATAACTGTTGGTAGAGGTGGAGGTGGAGGTGGGGCTGGGGCTGGGGGCTCGGGCTCTCCACTACCATCTTCTAAGTGGGAGGCTTTTAAAGGCCTCCAGCAGGCCTTTGGCAAGCCTGAAGTGGAGTCAGCTGGCCTCAGTCTTCCTGGGCCAGCTCCCTGCCAGCTGCTCCTAATAGTCTTACAGCCCTCCACCTCTAATTAGCAGAGGAGTACAGATAGTTCGGAATGGCTACGTAGTTCGAACTATCCAGCCCGTGCCGCGTGTAGCCGCGCGGCACGGGGTTCGCACTAGCCGGCTTTTAAAAATGGCGGCGCCGGCTTTATGCTAATGAAGCCCGGGAAATTCAAATCCCGGGCTTCATTAGCAAGTTCGGTATACATACATTACCCCGCTAGTTCGAACTAGTGGGGTAGTGTAGACATACCCTTTCTGATTTTGCCCTGTCTCACTCTGTGACATTGTAGTCACCTAAATAATCAGTCCAGCTTTTCCCAGAGAGTGCACAAACCCAGCCCTATAGATTTCAACAGGCACTGTTGTGTGCTTAGCACCTTGCAACTATCAGCGCACGTAGGATCTAATTTTAGGCAAATGTTGTTCCAAGTTCTTTGTTCCACCATCTGGAGTTGACAAATTCCGAGGATGTGGCTTGTTGTTGTTTTGCCCAGTGCCCAAGTGCAGCCGCTTGGAAGTACCTGACCTTTGGGAGTCCTTATGGCATTTAATTTAGTTAGGGTCAGGAACAGCAAGGATGGAGCCGGTGCTGGGATTCTGGAAAGTCATTGGGGTAGGGTGGAGGAACTGCCACCAGAAAAAGCACATGACTACAAAAAGTGACCCTGCTCACTCATGAATATGTTTAGAAAGACAGCACATAGATGGGGGGAAGGAGTGGCATGAGCTTTTTGTCAGCTGCAAGGGCATCTCCGGTTGATAAGCCTTGGTAACTTTTTAATTTTAGTCTGAAGATCTTTGCTTGTTGTGTGCAGGACTTTTATCTAGCATATGATGCTATATAATGACATTCCTCCTTTGTGCTTAATCAGTATCTCTTAGGGTAAACTCTCACCAGTCAAGTAACAGGAAATGCATGATTACTTGTAGCAGTATGTGTGCTTTCCTTGTACTGAAGGAGGTGATCAGCACAACAGCTATAGACAGAAGTGTGTCAAATGCAAAATATTATGCACAGGTGATTGAGTCAACCCTTAACTTGTCAAAAAGCCACTGGTCCAGTCCACCCCAAATCCATGATCTCCATAAAGCGATAGCTAGTAAACATAGCTCTTCTCACTCTTTTGATCAAATAAAAGTTAAGTTTGGTTTCTAAGGCTCTCATTTAAGAAAACAGACTTTTATTTGTATCAGTGGATGAAAAAGAATGTATTCCAGAAATAATTACTATTTTAAGATACTCAGAATTAATTGGACTTTTAATATACTTCGTTTTTTGGAATATTTACAAATATATTTTAAC